CTGAGATCGCAGCAGCAGCCGCCGCCGCCGCCGGCGCTGGGGGTGGAGTTTGTGGGTCAGTGCGGATCCCGCAGAGCCGCCGCCGGTTCCTTGCCGGCTGGGGAGGAAGAGGAGAGAGAAAGAGGCTGGCCGAGCAGCCGGGCGGCCTTGGCGCTGGCACCGCCGCCCGGGCATGAGGATGGCTGTCGGCGCAGCAGTGGCTGCAGGAGACGCGGGCTCGCCGAATCCCGGCCCCGCTGCGGTCTCGCTGGGCTTGAGCGTGGCTGTGGTGTCCAGCCTGGTCAACGGCTCCACGTTCGTGCTGCAGAAGAAAGGGATCGTGCGGGCAAGAGGACGAGGTAGGGGGCTCCCCCGGGCCTGCTCCCCCCGGTCCCCGTCCCTTTCTGGGCTTCGGGCTGCAGCAGAAGCGCTCCGAGGTCTTTGCAACAGCTAGCATCCTCTTCGGGATCTCCTCCCACTTTGCCGAGCCCACCCCGGCTTTCGTACGCCGCCTCTCCCGGAGCCCCCTGCTTCCCTGCACGGAGGTCACCCTCCGGGAGCGAATAATCGGAACATTCAGTAAATCAAGGCCTCACCACTGCCTTCCCCGGCCAACCCAGGGCCCCCAGGGGGGTCGGACTACAACTCCCACAATTCCCAGCCCGGGCGCTAAGTTGGGGAAGGCTGCCTTAAAACAGACTGCTGCATTCCATGCTAGAGGGTATCTAATTCAATTACTTTCCCCTAACCTTTGTTCCTCCCTAGGCATTATCTTTGGCTTTAGGCAGTATCAAACCTAAGAATTTAGCATGACTGTGTTACCCCCCCTCCACGGGGTAAGGGTGTACAGCTACCACAGGCGGTGGCTAACCCTTCAACTCTCAATCCACACCCCCCCAGCTTATTGTTGTTTTCTTGTTCAAGTCTGTAATCATACTACTCTTTCAAAAGTCACTTATGCCTGCATGATGAGCATAGGTACTCGACTTGCAAAGGATTATAACGGAGCGTGAACGCTAAAGAAAATCTCCCAGTTGTCAGGAACTAGGGGTTCAGACAGCCTCTTCAAACATTCCTAGTGAGATTTATTCCTTATTCCGGCAGATGCTATAGTGCATTACAGACTCAGATGAAGTTTGCACTTTGTATTTATAATCTGAGTTTATGCTTTTTAAAATCAATTGACCCTGAGGGGCTTCTTATAGAATCACAGAGTTTGGACGAGACCATTTAGACCAGTGTTTCTCAAACTTGGCAACTTTAAGACGTGTGGACTTCAACTCCCAGAATTC